GAAGATTAGTAGACTTTAAGTACGTCGTTGAGAAGAGGTAGTCATATTTCATTCGAGCGTATTGCTATATCAATTAGTTGTCATTGAGCTTCTGTATTTCATGTGTTACAGAATGGTTCATTCAACGACTGGATGGCCGCCAAGCAATATGGTGTGGGGCAGAAATGTATGGCATGATATGGGGTCTATCTTTTTCACACCTGAAGTGGTTTTCGATGGTGCAGTACTCAGTGTCAGAGGTGTGGATGTCGCATCGAATTGCTGAGAGCATTATCCTCGACAATGTTTGTATATTTGTGGTCGTAGGTGTTGTGGAACAAGAGAATATCTGCGAGAAACGCTCGCACCGTATTCAGAATTGTACTATTCAACAGTGAAGTTCTACCACAACGACTTCAAGGTGATGACCTTGTACTGTGCAGCGTCAAGTATCCAAGGGCGCTGCAAACTTTCTTTGCTTATTCATAACGATCATTCTACAAGTGCAAACATATCCAATGCACATGACATCGACGGACGAAGACGGAAAACATTTCGAAGGAGGATCATGGACCAACCGTCGCTCAAAGCACTCGTGGATGGGCTCGTGGATACAGCGATTACATATGTACGAAGTCTTCTGCTGCGAGAGTATGAAGTCATAGAAACTTACGTAGAGTACAAGGACCCCACGTTCGATGGGCACAATGAGACGAACACTGTAGAAGATTGGACAATTCACATGAGGAGAGCGTGAAATTTATCACGCAGATCGTATTAATATGTCCATTACGTACTAGATCTGATTCAAGTCGATAGCCTTAGAATATCGTTTTCAAGTGTTATGTGGCAGTGCCTAGAAGTCGATTTCAATTATAGTCAACTTTGACGAAGATTTTGATAATGTGTAATTTTAAGAGTTCATAGACGCACCATTGAGCTGATGTAAGTGGCACTTCTTTGCTTTTAATATAATTGTCAATGAACTTTTGCATTAAATTTTCCTTCCACGGTCTCCATATGAAGGGTGTTGTTATAGTTTGAGGCAACTTAAAGTCTTGGACTTTGGAGAGCTGCTCTTTGTTTGAATGTGTCAAGGGTTTTACAAATTTTGCAATTCTTTCCTTCGCATATGATGTCATTTTTTTCGTTTATATTCTAATCATTTCGACACTTCTATGCTCCAGGTTTACATTGTGCCAAAATATTAAAGTCCTATTTTTTTTGTTCTACAATTTACCTTTTGTTCGGTTACTTCGTTAATTTCATTATGTTAACTTTTTACAAAACAGTTCATTTTTAACGAAAACGCCGTTCTTGGTAACAACCCTGACTTCTTGAAACTTTAAGAAGGAGGGAGAGGTGAGTATCGGTAGCAAAAAAAAATGAAGGGGCAGTAAGGAAGCTGAAGGAGGATCTATGACAAAGATCCGTTCCAGAGCGGGATCCGTTGTTATCGGAGGGGAGGTTCTGGGAGTGGGAAGTTCGATGAGCGAGGCGAAAAGCTGAAGAAGCTGGTGCGACGGTGCAGGCGAAGAAGTCTGCAGCATGAGATGAGCTGGGAACAGATGCTTAAGGAAAGGATCAAAGAGAGGGGGTTGCTCAGGCGGAGGGGAGTGATAAGAGAAGGAGAAGGAAACCGATCTTGGTGAGGAAGGGGAGGAGTGAGGTGGGAGAGGGGAAAGGGAAGTCGACGGATGATGCGGCCGAGGAGATGGTGACCGACGAGGCGGGGACATGGCCAGAGTACAAAGTGAGGGACTACCGTGAGAGCCCGCACCGTTCATGGTGGAAGGACGAGGAAGTTCTTACCGTATAAAAAAAAGTTACGGAGTCTGGTTGCAGAGAGGTGAACCGGGCTCAGAACCGTAACGTGGATTAGCTGAAAAGACTTGACCGAAAATGAAGACTGAGGCCTGTGCAAGTGCAAAAACTGAGTTTGAGAACCTGGCCAGAAACCAGTGTATGTGCAGACTAACGAGTGTGAGATAATTCGAAAAAAGACACAGGTGGCCGCTTCGCCAGAATAGGCGATGTGAACGACCTGTCCTCCGAATGTCTGGTTGACTAGTCTTGACGTGACGTGCAGGTTTGCGTAAGCAATGGGCGCAGCGGCTGGCGGAAGAAATCCAGAAAGCAGCCAGCACGAATCGGCTCCACCTGCTGCGACCGGTCCTACACCAGTTACATATACTCTCGCGGCGACTGGAGGCAGCGGAGGACGGGCCGCCGAGGGACTCCTTCCTGCCGGGTGAGTCCCACTGGTCCTTCCTGAAGGAGTCGCAGATCCTGAGTACAAAGAACCTCCCACCATAGATCTTGGAACTGAAGAGATACCAGTAGGATCAGAAATAGTCTGACCGTAGATGATGACGATCAACCGTAATGAAATAATCAGATAAATGAGAAAATGAAAAAACCGCCTCGAAGTTGTTGCGCGTCCTGGAACTGTGAAGATGAGGCCCTAGGCCGAAGAAGTTGACGCCAACCGCAGAACTCTCTCTAGGTGGGTTGCTGGTTTAAAAAGAGTTTGTCTCTCAGGCATAGGTCAGATCTGAATTAACTTTCGACAAACGCGTCAGCCTCATCAAGTCAAAAATGTCCGCATTGAAAATACCGAGCTAATACCCTTGTAAGGTTTCTGCTCCGACACCGGGTTCTCAGTTGTAACATACCACTACGCGCATGTCCTCTCACAGGTCCTTGGGCTCCAATGGACCTCGTGCCGTCCAAAATTGCTGGGGAATCCTCGGCGCTTGAGGATTTGTCCTCAGAGTGATTTCACATTTTCATTTCCGATTTCATCTCGAACGACAGGTGGAAGGATGATGAAATCTTTGGAATCACATCCCCTAGGAGTGTCCAACGAGGACCATAATTCATGGTGAACACAGCTTTGGAATTTGATTATATTATTGTGTTCTACGGAACACTGGCCCCATGCCTGTATGTGAGGCCAGTGGAATTGAATGCAGCTCGTAGGAATTGAAAGCAACCCGTGGGTGTTACCGATTGAGCTGCCGTCTTCCCCCAGAGGGCAGGCCCGTTGGCCTGCCTGTGAGTTCAGTAGGGCTGATTGTGTTGTAAAAAATAATAAACAAAAAAGGGAGTTCCGTATAGGGCTGATCAGCCCCAAATTTTCATGCACACGCCGCGAACGTGGGGAAAGATATGACGCGGAGCGTTTCACAGTCAGGCCGCGCTTCACGCAGTCTTCCAACCGTACCTGCAATGCTTGGCTCTTCTGAATGCACCTGGTCGGCATGGCGGCCAAATGCATGTAGAGTGTTGTGTAATGGAGCGAGGCCCAATGTCGACTTTCTGTTGTTTAGAATTAAAAAACCAGTGAGGTCCAGATACGCAGAGCAGACATTTCCCATTCCCATGAAGAAGGGCAGGATGAGCACCGATTCGCAGATATTCGGACGGATCGAAACGGCGCACTCTTGCGTCTTGCGGTGCGATTGCGCGTGTCGTGGAGAAGCATCTGGCCAGGAGATCACGAGACGAGGATCCACACCACGATGAGGGCAAACTCAAGACTGTGAGTTTTATCCTCACATTCTCTGGAAGGATTCGTGGCTCGATACATTGAGGAGGGCCGTAGTTACGGTCAAATACATTTAAGATTGTGCTCCTACCCTAGCTGCGGAGAACCTCGACCCTACACTGAAGCGCATGGCGGAGTCCTCTTGATGCTGATCGTTGGCATCGCACAGCAGCGACGTTTGCCAGTCCACGAGTTGTGGCCCTCGGACCCACCGATTTTCCGTTCCTACCCTCGCTCGCGAATCCCCCTGTCATCCCATGGCGGCCGATTTTGATTTTGATTATTCCCTGCTACCGCCGGTAAGCATATGACACAAGGCGGTAGCAGCGACTGGGACAGGGTCGGCCCACTCCGTGCTTTTTTTTTTTTTTTTTTTTTTTTTTTTGGCCCACTCCGTCGTGATTGACACTCCCTAGAGTTGAAAAAAGAAAAAAGAAAAAAAAGACACTCCCTAGAGTTCTGTGATCACCAGAGGAAGACCGTGTTCACACTGGCGGGACTGTCTGATCGACACATGGCTGACACCGACTGGGAAAGCAGTCGCCCACCCCGGAAAGCAGTCGCCCACTCCCTACTGGCAGTAGTGAACGCGTGGAACCGTGGAGATTCGATACCGGTTCACGGGTGCAGCTGCGCGTTCGAGTCCCGGGGGTAGGTCCCACTTACACGAATTAAGCGATATCGACCGTAGATAGCAAAGATCAACGGCCAGAATCTCTTAATCCGTGCAAGTGGGACCTTGCCCCCGGCGAGACCACGGAAAGTAGAGAAAACTTGCATGCAAAAGAAGCAGGTGGCGTAGCTCAGTGGGTAGACGCGCGAACTGTTGAAAAGAAGGGCTGAGTTCGAAGTCCACTGCAATCAGATGAAAGGAAAAACCTTGAAAACTAGGGTCCATGGGATCGATGGCATCGACGTCTTTGCCTTGAGCGGGGACCGTTCCAGTGCATCGGAAGCAGGCACTGCCAGCATGTCATAACCGTAGATAGGTCACATCCACGGCTGTAAAGATCTGGCGGTCTGCAATTCTAGCGTAGGGGTGCAATTCTAGCGTGGTGGAACGGAGGCGGCCAAAATAGAGGAGCGATGTTCTTATTATTATTTTTCCTTTCGCGAGCCCTCCACCTGGCGTCGGCTTGTTGGTGCAATCATGCGAGTCCTCGCCGTGCGGCGCCGGTTTGTTAATTAATTTCTCTCCATCCGCCGTACACATCAGTTGCGTGTCCTCCTCCTCTTCCTTCATTTCATTCCCACAGTGTCCCTGTGGCACCCGTCCACACCAGCCGTCGGCGCCACGTTTCCCCTGCTGCTGCCCCCGTGGTACCGGTGGCTGCGTGCCGCGGCGGGGCGGGCGGGCGGGCGGCATTCTCCACCCCCGCGTTCGGGCAGGGCGCGTGCTGAAGGCGGGCCTTCCCGCCGAGTCTGCCCCGTTGCATGCACGCGGCGGAGTTTTGCCTGTATTTGTGAAAGACGGCGCGGGGGTAATAACTCCATAGCCATATACTCGTGTAGTAGTGTGCTCTTGCACGGTGCGGGTGTATTCAACGGCGCAAACCCTGGAAAGCAGTTTTCTCCTGGCGGCGTCGGCGTCTGGCGGCGGCGGTGTTGTCTCCACTTCGCTTGTGCGGACGCGGGCGGGTGGTGTCTATATTTGTGGACGCGCTGCCTCTCCGTCCCCGTCTCTTGTTCATTATGTGTTTGCATACCTGTCAATCTATCGAGTGATTATATCAAGGAGGAAGGTCATCTTCGTTACGCTCTTGCGTCTCCAGGGCTTGTGTTGCGCGCGCGCATGGTCTGTCTTCTATTTTGGAAGAGGAGGGAGTTGGTAATACTTCCGCTCGCTATTCTCTCCCTCGTCTCGGCGGTTTGCTAACTAACACGTTCTTGTGTCTTTTTGAATCTTTTTGAACTCAAACACGTGGTGAAAAGACAATCAGCGAAGATGTTCGGGCCAATCACAGAGCTGGCGATCCTGGTCGCCTCGCTGGGTTATCCTTCCTACGCTTCGTTCAAGGCGTCAGAGAAGGGCGATGACGACGAAGCAAAGCAATGGCTGACGTACTGGGTTGTTTTCAGTTTTCTGTCCTTCTTCGAGACCTTCACGTCGTGGGCGTTCACGTGGCTGCCATGGTATCCGGAGATGAAGTTGGCGTTCATCTTGTGGCTGAGCCTTCCCAAGTTCAAGGGCGCGTCCGTCATGTACGACTTGTACGTCTCGCAGTTCTTTAAGCGTCATCAAAGAGATATCGATGACCTCCAGAACCAGCTGCAGTCCAGGCTCTCCACTCTGACTGGCCCTGAGGCGATGGCTGAGTACCGCAAATATGTGGCCAAGTACGGACAGAAGGTGGTGGAGCAGGCGGTGTCACACATGAACTCCTCAGGGGCGCCGGCTGCTCTGCAGGTCGCGGCTGCGGTCATGGCTAAGAACGGTAATGCAGCGGGCGCCTCGGGCGCTTCTACGTCGAGTGCCGGCGCCGCCGGTCCTAAGACGGATTGAGATAATCGTTGACATCATGCTTAGGTCTACTTTCATGTCTCATGTAGATGGTCGCTCACAAAAAGTTTCTGATTGTCCTATATCGACGTTCGCTTGGGGGGCTGTCGTTTTTTCTTGTGATTTCTTTGTTCTTCTGTTTTGCTTATCCGCTTTGGCACTTCTGGCGGTATCTTGCCCTATTTCATAAACAGGCAGAACAGGCCGTCATCCTTCATTTGTTTCTACCCGCTCCGTCGCTTGGCGTTCGGGCCATTTTCGTTGTTATTCATTTATGTTTTATTTACACTAAATTGGGCGTGTTAGCGAGTCAAAAGACTGACGGTAATTCCGAAAACGGTACATGTACAATTCCCTCTCTCCTGTCTTTCTTAAGGAAATTAGCGGTTCCCGCTTCTACGTCGCTGAAGAGAGGAGAAGGTAAGGGTTGATGATTGCGTTCGAGCTTGCGTTGCAGTGTTATGTTGGCGATGAAGAGGTGGAGAAGAAGAGGGAGGGAGGGAGGTGAGGATGAGGGTGGTCGGAGACGGTTAACGGTGGCTGCGATGTGATAGAACTTGAGAGAAAGGAAGGCATGTGCAGTGGATTTTGGCACTGAGTGTTTGATTGGACAGGAGAGGAATTCATGCATGCGAGGTGGGCTGTCTGGTTCCACTGCGCCATCCCCCTCTTGATGGGGGTTGTTCGTTATCTGCCGTCAACTGCTGAAGGGGCCGTTGAAGCTCTCTCGGTCTTCGGGTCGGGCGGGATGGAATTTGTTGCCTTTATTGGGCTTGGCGTATCAAGCGTTTCGAACGCTGGTCGTGGCGGTGACATGGTATTTACGTTCGTGGGATTGGGATTTGTGGCTCGGCGCTGTTCCATGTAAACGGTCTTGTTACGCCGAGTGTCGCTGATTGTTGCTTGTACTGGCGCGCAGGGCAGCGCGAAGACGGAACGTTTGGGGTATTCAAGAAACAGCGCGCAGTTCATTCACTGAGAAGTCAGTCGGAATGGCCTCTCCTCTCCGTCCGTTGGGGTTAGTGCCTTCTCTTCGAAGATCGAGAAGGGTGGTTCTCATCTCGCCTACCTGTCTCCTTGGAGGCAGCGTGGCTGAATGGAACCTCTGAATCTATCAAGACTAACTAAACGCTCAGACGTTTGCTGCTTCTGATAGTGACGGCGCAGCTGCGGAGCGCAGCCTGCTGCCATTCGTTACTCCTGCGGAGGAAACAGTGCTCATCTGTGTATATTGTGGCGGTGGGTGAGAGAGAGAGAGAGAGAGAGAGAGAGAGAGAGAGAGAGAGAGAGAGAGAGAGAGAGGGGAGTATGTTTTCTGGGAGAGCGTGACTGCTCGTCGTCGTTTCCATGATGAGGTGACGGGGTTGTGCTTGGTGTGTACCTTCGAGACGTCCTCGTGAGACTTGGCAGCGCACTCCAGCTCAGCTGAAGGGAATATACTTCGGTCCAAGGAAGAGCTTTTTTTTTTTCGTAGGATATGTCTTTCTCTCGCACTGTCCATCTGTGAAAGGCAAGTAATGTTCTGAGAGCAGGCGTGCAGGCGTAGGTGATTAATCTGTTAGCGACAGTATCACAACGTTCTCTCCACTAAGAAAACGCTCTGGGTCTCTTATCTTCTTCACCTGTTCTTTTCTCCTGAAGGTAGGGGGGTCATTATGCGTTTCATTCTTTCCAGTTTCAGTTAATTACGACTGTGTTCTGACAAGAGAGAACTGGCAAGCAAAACGGAGATTGTGAACGAAGGGTAAAGCCTTAACACTCTAGTGCAACAGTTGGTCGTCTTAACTGTCTTAACTCTGTAGGGTGGAACATGTAGTTATCGACTAAAGCGTCTCAGGTGCTGTGCCAAAGATATGCCTGAGGATGGCTTTCGTTTCGCTTCGCTTCGCCTGTCTGCTGGATACGCAGAGGCGGAGTCTCGAGGCAGGGTCTGGCGGTGGTTTCGTTTGCATTTATTGAACGTGTCCCCATTAGAGACGAGTTATTGTTTATTTAACCATCGTGGTTGGTAGGCATAGCGCTGGGAATTCTCGTGTGTGTTAGTTCGCGTAGTCAGCAGGTAACGAGATTAGGTTTAGATATGTCCTGTTGGTTAGACGTAGAAGTAGGTCGGCTGGCGGAGAAGAGAATGTGGAAATTCCACGCTGTAGGTCCAAGAGGCGAAACCGAAGGTGGTGGCATTGTGAAGAGGACACCCGTTGTGGGATCGATCACTGGTTTGCATGCGGTGAATAAAAGATTAAAAGAAGAGGTAAAGGGTGAGCTCCGATGTGGAGACGCAATGAAAGCTTTGAAGAGGAGAGGAAGGCGAGTGTGTGTTCCGACGTGGGTCGCGAGAAAGCGGAGGGCAAGGGGAAGGAGAAAATGGTCAGAGGCTGAATGAAGGCTAATGGGTGAAAGGAAAGGATGATTAAGTTGAAATGGGTCAAAGGATGATTGAGAAAGAAATCCGAGCTCCTTGAGGCGAAGCAAAGAAGCAAAGAAGCGAAGCTATTCGTTAAGTGGCACGTTTCTCCTTTCTTTTGTGCATGAAATTGAAATCTACGTGACTGTGTACATGGAGTGTGTACATGTCATTTGTCTTCGTGGTTTGTGTAACTCGGTGTGCGGGGCTACGGTGGTGTGTTCATCTGGAGACGTTTTGGTTCGGTCGCCTGTCGGTTGTTTCGGAACGGGGAAAGAGGAAGTTCTTTTTCGTATCATCCTTCACTGTTTAACTAAGCAATTGACGTACGAGAGCTTTTTTTGACGGCGAGTACGCTATAACGCAGACAAAGCTGTTGAACAAAATGGTGATGCACAGACTATGAACTGAATCTGGGTACCTTCGCTCCTCTCCGAGGGTTTCGTGTGTGCGCGTAGGTGTGTGTGCATATGGATGTTGTGTACTGTATGACAGGAGCGATATCGAGCACACCCCTTGCATGAGATTCTATAACTGTGATATGTACTGTATGACCTTATCACTGCCATCATTCATAACGATATCGAGCACACCCTTGCATGAGATTCTACAAGTGTGATATGGACGCTCGCCGTGGACGGATATGGGCTTTGTACGGATAGATCGTCTTCAGTCTTGTTCGATTACAGAGGTTGATTACTACCTAGTGTTGTGGCTTTGGTATTCACCTTTTGCTGTTGTAGTTTGCTTACCTTTTGTCATCGATGTAGTTTGCTATCTACCTTTCGTTATTGATGCGGAAACAAGTGATTACAAGAAGACAGGTTTGGGAATACGAGCGATATTTCTTGCTGTGCCAGGGATGGTTGGTCTTTTCTTTGCACACTAGTGGGAGGTCTATATAGCTCACGATTTACGTATCTAGGCGTGTCGATTGTAGTGCGGATTTTCCTGGTCGGATTTTCTGATGGCCGTGTTTTATCCCCTCATCTGGATCGATTTTTTCGTTTGCCATCCTCTTCTGGTTGGCGTTGTTGCTGTGTAATCGCGGTGTCTCGCTTGTTGAACATCCTATTTCGTTTCTTCTCTCGTCTTCATCGGCGGGGTGACCTTGCCAATCTGTTCACCGTCAGCAGGATCCGCGAAGCCTCCCTCCTCCTCCCCCCGCCCCCTTCTTCCGCGCCCGCGGGGCCCTACCGACTCACATAGGCACGTGCATCGTAGATGCGTTGAAACTTGCTTCGTTTCCGCTTTTCGTTTTTTTTTTTTGTCGCTCTACTCTGTGAGCTCGTGTCCTACTGCTGGGTATTGGGCGGTCTCATGAGTCGTTGTGGTCGTGTTCGGTGTGATTTACGCTTGGTCTCTCCACTCATCCATTGTCTTTGTGCGTATGTAATGCTCAATGCCGCTGAAGCGTGTGCTGAAACTAGAGAGATACTAAAGAGAAGGTGAGTCTGGGGATGGCGGGGGGAAGGGAAGGGGAAGAGCGGGGGTGGGGGGCTAAGTGGGGGTGGAAAGGTATAGGTAAGGGGGACGCGGGGATCGGCGGGTTTGGAACTTTTAGCTTGAAGAGGACTGTGGTTTGGTTTCTCTGCGAGAAGTCCGAAGGACCAGTTGTTAGTTAAGAAGTCTTATGAATGGGTCATTGGCCTTTCGAACGTACACGCTTGAACGTACGCTTGAACGTACGATTAAATAAACGTTATCACACATTAGCGGCGAGAAAGGCCGACAAACTGTATTTATAAGCAATTATGCCTGTCGTTTTTAACGCTGATACCGTAAGTAAGCTTCTGTAATGTTTGGCTTTTTGGTTTGTAAAATACGCTGAAGACTGCGCTATGCGCTTAACGACTCGGTCTCTGTGTGTATTTTAATTGATCTTCTGGTCTAAATTTCGAATAAAAAATACGCTTATTCGGACTTTGGAATTTTGTTTCGTTCGAACTGAAAACGAAATAACACAGAGAATAATGGTCCAAATAAAAAAAGAAAAAAGCTCCTTCTGAGAAAAGAAAGTAATTTCGTTTTTGTCCTGCAGTATGTTGTCGCCTTGTTCGGTTTCATCATACCCCTTGTTTTATGGAATTTGGGTCAATTCTCGCTCGCACCCCCAGATAACAGCGCAGGCAGCCGAAGAGGCGGTGTGTGGACGTGCTTTGATGAATCGTAGGGAATGGTTCTAGTGCACTAGAATACAATACGTGTTTGTTGTTTTTACATCAATATATGAAAGGCAATGGTAGTGAAACCGCTCAGTATTCATTCTGGTGTAGTTTTTTATCCGTTGCATCCTGATTGGATGCAACTTCTTTTTTTTTTTTTTTTTTTTAATGAACAATGCCTGTCTCTTATACACATCTAGATGTGTATAAGAGACAGCATTATGTCCTCCACGAGAGTAAAGCCTCACATTTTGTGCAACTTCTTTTTTTTTTTTTTTGCTTTTTGTTCGGGCCCAAAAGGCCCAAACATTTTCTTCTCGCCAACCCTATGCCTGTCTCTTATACACATCTAGATGTGTATAAGAGACAGATCCAATGGGACCCCTGATTGGATGCAACTTTCAGCCGGTCTGTTTGCGGAGTGTCATCCGATCCGAGGATGGTGTGTCCTCGTAAGTGCATGTGAACTGCACACCTCCTCGTCTACCCTCTTCCCCCGGACATAACGCGCCCTGAAAATGAACGTATACAAGCTATGTTTCCGGCCCGATACAGTTAAAATGAGGGTGCGCTGTGTTCGGGGGGAAGACAGTAGTCGCGATACAGGCAGAGGGTGTAATGGGATATGTACTCACAGTCGGGATTTCCTACGTAGGGCGCATTAGACCGTCTCTGCAGCCCACTTCCGTTAGATAACGGCCGTCTCCGGACTCAACCCACCTTCATCATGATTGTACTGTGTGTACATCCTCGTCTATTTGTCTTTTGACGCGATATAGTCTACACGGGGATATGTACTCACGCTATAGATATCCGACGTAGAGCGCATCAGACCGCTATGTTTCCTGGAAATGAACGTATACAAGCTATGTTTCCAGCCACATTCAGTCAGGTACCGTATCTGAACCCACTTACATCACCGGTTGTATTTATATTCTACATCCTCGTCTGTTAGTCGCGATGTACGCTTAAGGATTCTTCCGCTAGGGAATTCCTACGAGGGTGCATCAGACCGCGTATGCAGCCCAATTCAGTTAGATAGCTTCTACCGTCTGTCCCTGGAACTCAACCCACCATCATGGTTGGTTGTACTGCTATGTACATTCATTCGTGATGAGAGAATGTTGTTCTTTTTTTTTTTTTTTGGCGTGCAACATATTACGAACTTCGTTAATCATGAAGAAGTGGCCCGGGAAGAACGAGAATTGTTTTTTTTTTTGTGGAAAGAACAGCAGTGTGAGATGGCATCAAGTTTGAGTAACAGCCTGTAGGCTTTTCCTTCGTTCGCGTGCTCACGCCGCTCCCGACTCTCTACCTGTTTCTGAACATAAACGACGACATTGTTGCTTGTCGCAGCTGAAATTTCTGAGGTGTATGTAAACGAAATTTCTCTGAAGTGGCGCTTCACACGCCGATTGCCAAAGTCCGGTTGTGGAAGGAGCCAATCACGTCATCACCTCTCTTCTCGCGGGTCATTCCCGTCTGGATCCACAGATGTGAAATGTGTGGTTGGTGGTCGGCAAAATATTCCAAAATGTTCGAATTGATCGTCTGTCAAAATTCTGAAGAAATAATGGTGTAAATTTGTAAAAGATTGAATTGAATGATCGATTTTTCGATAGATTTGAAGGTGTGGTTGGTGGTCGTCAAAACTCTGAATTTTCGTTTTCTAAAGAAATCAGGGTCTCGATTAAATGCGGTTCTTTTTTCACTTCCAGACATGCCTTTTGCTGTCTTCGACGGAGTACATTTTTGAGAAATTCTTGACAAAAGTGAGCATGTCGCCGCCTCTCTATGAACCACCCGTCTACTCCGATAGCCGGAGGTAAAAATTGACATCTTCGTCTTCGCGTTCTTTTGTCCCGTCTACTTCGGGAATGCAATTCGATCGATGGTTTGAATGAAAACGAAGACAAGTTATGGTTTTCCTTAAAAACTTTCTGCTCTCTCTCTCTCTCTCTCTCTCTCTCTCTCTCTCTCTCTGTGTGCTGTAAGGACGATATCCTCGATGCACGGTTCCTGTGGTCTGTCAGTTATGGTGCCGGGATGTGTAGTGCATTGCTTTTTTTTTTTTTTCTTGGGCTTAGTGCATTGCTCTTTTTGCTGCCAAGCTGATTGTCCTTTTCTTTTCTCTCTCCGTTCGCCTTCGGGGCCGCGCTTGGCTTGTTCAGCAAGCGAAATTTCGTACTACTGTCTTCTCTGCCGAATAGAACGCCCGGGCATTATCGCCGTTTCTAGACGGAATGTTGCTCCAAATACGCTTGTTATAACGATAGAACGTTGTTTCAAAATTTCCAGCTGCTTGTTTCATTGGTTCAATTTGTGCAGCTGAACCTACTCCAGAAGACCGAAATGATGCCAATATAGTACGCTCAGACTACATTCCCCCGAACACAACGCACCCTTATTTTGTCTGTATCTGGCCGGAAATATAGCTTGTATACATTTTTTTAGGGTGCGTCATGTTCGGGGGAAGACGGTAGGCCCTCAAAATCACAAAATCGTAAAATGAGCGGCCAGATTGAGTCGTTCGTTTACAAGCACTCGATCTGGTGGCTCATTTTGCGATTTTGTGATTCTGTGATTTTGAGGGCCTGGTGTGAGCGAAGTATGCATGCCCTTAAAAAAAAAAGCCCTAATTGCAGATGGCAGGTGCTCTGCTACCGTACGTCAGTCAGTCTTTGTCGTATCCTCGTTGCTATTCCCGGAACTTTGGTAACCGGAATTATCTTTTCACCACAAGCTTCTGTTCTCTCATATATTTCCTGTTTTTTTTTTTTTTTTGGTTTAAAGATATTTCCTCTGCCTGTGGATCGGAGACGTCCAGGGTTATTAGCGAAGTTGGGGTGAACGATACAGAAGATTAGCAAAAAAAAAAAAAAAAAAAAAAAGAACTTGGTGTGCGAGTTCCCAATCTAGAAGCTTCGGTGCAGTCAGATCTCTCTATCTATCTCTCTTCTCTCTTTTTCTCAATCATAGTGACGTGCAGGTTTTCTCTCCGACTGCCTGTTGGAGATATCCTCGGCCACGAGCGAAGTGCCCCCTTGTGGAAAAAGAGGGGTAGGTGGCGACAAAGGGAAGTTGGAAGTGCGCACGAGCATCATCTCGCCGTTTGTCGTCCTCATCGGAATGTAACTTCTCTGAAATGAAGTCCACATGCTTCCGCTGAAAATCCTTCTACCGTCTTCGCCCGAATAGCCAATAGAACTCGCCGGTCAGTATAGCCGGTCAGTATAGCCCGATCGTACAGGTGAACATCGGATCACACAACATTGCCGAGTGCTCTTCGCCGACTATGTTCTCGGAGGGCAAACACGTCTCCCTCTTCCCCTATGCATGTCTGTGTGTGCGTGTGTGTGTGTGAATGTGTACTTGGAGCCCATTCGTTTGAAGTGCGAGGAGCAAAATAGAGCGTGAACCAATGGGGCCTCTAGCTCGTTGTCTACACCCATGGGCTGTTTAAATACAGGCCCAAGATCAAATCCAGGTGCAATCGAGATGAACAGAATTCGGTACTTGTGAATTACCTTGGCGCCAGTCAAGTTCAATGATGATATCCCAAGACCGTGGCTAATGATCTAACCCCACAAAAATATCCAGGTAGGTTCTAGTGCAACAGACTCTCTCTCTCTCTCTCTCTCTCTCTCTCTCTCTCTCTCTCTCTCTCTCTCTCTCTCTCTCTCTCTCTGCCTGTGGGTGTGTGAACATGCGTATATGTCGAGGCTATCGTCTTTTTGAGTGTACATAGCATCGAACAGGTAAGTACCTGAGATAGGGAGTTCCTGTGTATATATAAGCGCATACGCATAGGAGGGCTTTTCCCGGATGTCTGACCAGATTCGTTGCATGTAGCGCTCGCTTCTACTTCCACCGTAATCCGTTTCGGTCAATTTCTCCACTTCCTGGTTATTC